CTGACCAACCCTGAAATCCAAGACAACTCTGAATAAAAAACCAAATGACCCCTAGAATCTGGTACAATGAACTAGCTACTGCAATTTGCAAAACAGGCCGAAAGTAACTTATGACAGGCATTTAAAAAGACTATGAACAATTCTATAGGTGCACAACATTTGAACAATACTGATGAAAGCTAATTCCACGATAAAACTGAAAATACAACACTACGGTAAATGAACTGTAATGGCACTGTACTGGTAAAAACAATAACATGGTCCCTACGTCAGCCCACTGTCCAGCACAAAACATCCGACAGTCACACAACACAGACAAACATCCCTGAAGACCAGAGGCATTCACACAGACATTCAAAACCCACCAATCAAACCGAAACACTCAGACGACTGCCCTCTGTCGCACACCATACACCAACAGACCACGCTGCCCCGGAGAACCGATCGACCGTGTCGCAGCGTCTAAACTGCTAGAATACCAAATATGGAAACGATATCACATGACGTCATTTAACAGGCAAAACAAGGGTCGTCACATTACCCCCCTCTTCTAGATGAAACATTATGAAAGGATGTTTTCATCTCTAGAAAAAGATCCGAACCACAAAAAAGCAGTAGTCAAAACAAAATATGTCCACGAATGTCCTTAAAATACACAGAGTGTCCAGGCTCACGCTTACACATCCGTAAAGTTTGTCATTCTGGATTGAGTCCACAAACGTCATCGAAGCGACCAAATTGATGCTGCATATCTCCACTGGCTCAACAACGGCTACTATGTTAGATCTCCGGACGGCCAAGGCTGCTGTAGCTGAACTAGTACACCCAGTCCCGAGCGGCCGGTATAACCACATCTTCAACTATAGTCCCATGACAGCAGGGAGAAGCTGTTTGGTGCTGTACCTTAACATCCTGTCCCTCAAGAACAAAACGATGCGACGAATTTGCCAAGATAGTCCATCAGTGACCCTAGATCGGCGACGGCAACGGTATGCTCCACAGGCCAGCTTTCAATCGTCAGGTTGACATCAAGTGCACCATGAGACACTAACGACTCGCCACTGGCAGTACGCAATGGTACTGGAAAAGAATACAGTTCTGAAATGTCCGAATTTCCTGCAACGTCGAGTAAACAGCGGTGTCTATGAGCGAGACACCCGAACCGAATTTCCCGCAACGTCAAGTAAACAGCGGTGTCTATGAGCGAGACACCCGCACGTGACCCTGGATCGCCGACCACAACTGTATGCTCCACAGACCAGCTTTCAATCGTCAGGTTGACATCAAGTACACCATGAGACACCAATGACTCGCAACCGGCAGTACGAAGTGGCACTGGAACAGGATGCAGCCCCGAAATGTTCGAATTCTCCTGCAACGTCGAGTAAACAGCGGTGTCAATAAGCCAGACACCCGCACTGGTATCAATCAAAAACAAAACAGGCACGTTATTGACCAGGGCCTTGACATATCATCCATTAGTCCAAGTAAGAGAAAAAAAAATCATAGTTCATAGAAAATATCCTGGCGTGCTCTCGCCAAAAATTGTAGCGTACCGGCAATGTATGAAATAATTATCCAGGTTCAGAATATCTTCTAATATGATCTGACGTCAAGTTTTCTCTCAATAGTCCAAGTCTTTATGCTATTTTATGTCATTTATTAACAACTCGAACAGTAAACGAACCAAAACAACCAAACACTCCCCAAAGGAACGAAAAGCATAAAATAAAAATAACAGATACCAGGCAGTAAAATGCAAGAAAGACCACATACACAACAAAAATACTGACCAACCCTGAAATCCAAGACAACTCTGAATAAAAAACCAAATGACCCCTAGAATCTGGTACAATGAACTAGCTACTGCAATTTGCAAAACAGGCCGAAAGTAACTTATGACAGGCATTTAAAAAGACTATGAACAATTCTATAGGTGCACAACATTTGAACAATACTGATGAAAGCTAATTCCACGATAAAACTGAAAATACAACACTACGGTAAATGAACTGTAATGGCACTGTACTGGTAAAAACAATAACATGGTCCCTACGTCAGCCCACTGTCCAGCACAAAACATCCGACAGTCACACAACACAGACAAACATCCCTGAAGACCAGAGGCATTCACACAGACATTCAAAACCCACCAATCAAACCGAAACACTCAGACGACTGCCCTCTGTCGCACACCATACACCAACAGACCACGCTGCCCCGGAGAACCGATCGACCGTGTCGCAGCGTCTAAACTGCTAGAATACCAAATATGGAAACGATATCACATGACGTCATTTAACAGGCAAAACAAGGGTCGTCACACAGTATAACTCGGAAAAATATGCCTTTTTACAGTTTAATCTCAACAATGTACGAGGTAAGTATAGGAATAGAGGCGGACGTTGTGGACATTTTGGAAGAGAATGTTGTGGGGCGTATCAACGGCAGGTATGCATGCGGAAGCCAACGAGAGGGTGCAGCGTGTCTGGGAACAGTTTAAGGAAGGAGAGTTATCTGCGGACTTCCTTCTTCGGAGGTGTTCAAGGATCTACGGGCCGCAGTATTGCAAAGAGTAAGTATGTAACGCAGCAAATTTCCCATAGCGTTTAGTATTCAAATAAAATTCATTGTTCGTAACGAAAAAGAAAACAAAATCTTCCATCCATTAAATTTCCCCATAACGTTTAGTATTCAAATATCATATTAAATTTATTAATCGTAACAAAAAGTAATCTTTTATCCATTCTTCGGCCCAGTTTCTTTGCCAGGCGCAGCGACAGTGCCTATCTGTTCCTGGTTTTCTTCTGCAAAAAGAAATTCCAACTCTATGACTGAAACCTTGCCGTGGTGAGTTGGCTTACAACTAATATCTGTCGGCATTAAGTAAATGCTATGCAACTCTTGAGTCTGCGTTTTGCAAAGCAATGTCTTCTCCTCGAGCATCGATATCGCAGAGCGATTGCTCGACTGGTGAGTTGTCTGCCTCTCGTTGCTCGGTAGTCGAGTTGTCTTCACCTCGAGCATCGATGACGTCACGTCGCAGAGCGTTTGCTCGACTGGTGAGTTGACGGCCTGTCGGGCGACTGCCGTAGGCGAGTTTAGACTACTGCAACCATAGACTACTGAGCGCACATTCATAGTTATTTAAGTGTTACTGTGAAGTATAAAGGTTTTAATATATTTGAAGGTGCCCATTCAAAACATTTAATACCAATAAAGTTCAAAAAATTAAACGAACACAGTCCTATAAGTCAACAGTCTAACATGCTAACGTTACTCCAATTCTGTCTGTAGACTGTATTTGTATTCATACAACATGATCAAAATAAGCCACTTATACAAATAAAAATGCTTTCTAGAGCATATTTATTTATTTTTCTTAACATTTGAGCACTAAAAATAACTAAAACGCATTTCTATAGACCTAAAACACCACCGTAGAAAATGCCAAAAGACGGACAACTCACCAGGCCTCTAGGTAGTCGAGTTGTCTCTGGTGAGTTGTCCGCCTCCCGTGAACTGCACTTGGGAAGTAAGATAGCATATCGGTGCCGTACCGGTACCGTACCGTACAGCGGTTTGTATTTGAATTTCAGAATTTGGTGAGGATGATTGGCCAGTGATTCAAGCTATTAAGGCTAATTTAGCATTATTCTAGAACTGGGGTGGCCAAACAGTCAGAGACCAAGATCCGCATTTCGTACTTTGATAACGCGAAGAGCCACATTATACTGTTATCGACAGAAGACAGACATGAACATTAAATATACCGGTACAGTACCTTTTTTTTAGCTCTGCTAGAATGACAGTTTATTGTAAATACACGCTACTTAGTGGGGCTTCTGACATTTCTTAGATTGAACAATGTTCTTTAAATTTGGCTCGAATATCATTGTGGCCAATCGAAGCAGTTCTTTCATGTCTACTGCGTAGCGGTACCGTACCTAGTCTATTGTCATGTGTCAGCCAGAACAGATCGATGCTCTGATTACAGAGTTGTAGGATAGAAAACACACATTCGCAGACGTATGTTGACCCAAACATTGACAATATCCTAAAGGCAGCTCAATTGTCATTGTTGTATTTTCCCATTGCCGGGCTTTTCCATACCTCAAAAGTCCCCCTAAAAAAGGAATTCAGATGGTCTTCATCATATGTTTAATCGAAACAAGATGAATCGTAGTTTACAAGTAAATTTTTCCTTAAAATAACCAAGAAAAGTCGCATAAAACCGACGCAAGAGTTAGCCAATCCTGTCCTAGAAGGTTGTAGATTCCACAAGATTGCGAGAATAACCTGAACTTGTCAAGGATTAAGAGGTGCTAACAGTACTACTACTGGTACCCTACATACCTACCTACCGTACTTTTGTAAAGTGGAGATAATATAAATTCTTCTTACAACTTTCTCGCAAAAAGCTCAGCCTACTAATATTTTGAATGGAATCTTTCTGTGTCATTAAAAGTGGAGTGAGGGAAATTGGGTTTGGACCATGGATAGCCTGACACACTAACCACTAGTCTATTCCTGGGGTCTCATGTAGTTTCTTACCTAACATACTTCTAGTGGGTGTAGCATGACAATTTTTTCACGTATCAATCCTAACCCCCACTTGACTACACCATCCAAAAATTACGTCATTACGACGTTACAGTGACGTAATAGAGCCCTTCAAACTATACAAAACTGCCATCCAAGACGCGCAAAAGAGCACCCGAAATCGAACAGGTATTTCTCTCGTTTTCTCGTCGCAACGATTCCAATAGGAGAGAGACCGATAACGTCAGTCAGTTCTTTATCGTCGGCGCCAATGCCATTTCGGTCGATCTTGCGTATATTTGGCAAGCTCTATGATGTGATTGTGATGTCGTAGTGATTTAATTTTTGGATGGCGTAATCAGATCGGGGTTAGGATTGACATATCAAAAAATTGTTATGTTACGCCCACTAGAAGTACGTTAGGTACGAAACTACACGAGACCCCTATTTCTGTACCGGTAGGTATCTATTCAACTATTTTTCTATTTCATTGAACACATCAAAAATTGAACTGAATGGCAGTTCATTAAAACTTGTCTTCTATGAACTCTTTACCAAAATGTTTTTAACAGCCATTTACAACCATGCATGAAATTAAAAAATTGACCGTATTTTTATCTCAGATACCGGTAATCCTTTGAATAATTAAATTTTAAAATGCCGGTGACAAAATTGAAGTATGTTGTTGGATTCGGAAAGTCTGACCCAGCAAAAGTTCCTGTTTTTATTGTAGGACAACTCAGGAATTTGAAACAGGTCAAATGGTCAACTGTTGCACCAAGGCTAGAATCTAAAGTTTCAGCGGCATCTTGGAAATCGGCCGTCGCAGCATTACATCCGAATCCCACTGACAGCTGTTCCTTATGGCAAAACAACGCAACTTTAGCTTCATTTACTCATCTTGTGAGTCGCCACAATACACCATCTGGTGCATATCATATTCCTAAACTCATGAGGAGCTGCATTTCTGGAAAAGCAGAGAATCAGAGCATTGTTATAGTTTGTGAACCCCAAGATGTATTTGCATGTGGCTGTTCTGTTGCCAGGGTATTTCCAACGTTTTCAATGCGCACTGGAAGAAATTTATCAATTTCAAATACAATCAGTATAGAGTTCATCATTATTTCACCCGGTGGTGAAAGCATTCATTTGGATGATTCGATGGCGGAATGTCTTGATGATGCTGCATATTCTGTTCGTCTTTCTGCAAAAATAGTAGATGCGCCATGTAATTTTATGCATACTGACGCCTTTTTAGATGAGATTCGTACAGTCGGATCTGATCTTGGAATTACACCTTTTATAATTCAAGGGAAAGATCTTGATGAAAAAGGGTTTGGTGGAATATATGGAGTGGGGAAGGCTTCGGTGCATCAGCCTGCCTTGGCCATTCTTAGCCACCAGCCAGAAGGAGCCACTCAAACCATTGCATGGTGTGGAAAAGGTATTGTTTATGATACAGGTGGGCTCAGCATAAAGGGAAAGACCACTATGCCAGGAATGAAGCGTGATTGCGGTGGGGCGGCTGCTATTTTGGGTGCATTCCGTGCTGCAGTAAAAAGAGGGTTCAAAGAAAATCTCCATGCTGTTTTCTGCCTTGCTGAAAATTCAGTTGGACCACACTCTGCTCGTCCAGATGACATTCATACCCTTTATTCTGGTAGAACGGTGGAAATCAACAACACAGATGCTGAAGGAAGGTTGGTTTTAGGTGATGGTGTTGCTTATGCATCAAAAGACTTGAAAGCGGACATTATTCTTGACATGGCTACTCTCACAGGTGCTCAAGGTATTTCAACAGGGAAATATCATGGTGCTGTACTTTCCAATCGTGAAGACTGGGAGAATGCAACTGTTAAAGCTGGTCGAACAAGTGGGGATCTCACTTTTCCACTTGTTTACTGTCCAGAGCTGCATTTTTCGGAATTCACTTCAGCTGTTGCGGATATGAAAAATTCTGTCGCTGATCGCTCCAATGCTCAAAGTTCCTGCGCTGGCTTATTCATCGGCAGTCATTTAGAAAATGGATTTCATTTTAAAGGTTCTTGGATTCATATCGATATGGCTTATCCAGTTCACAGTGGAGAGAGGGCAACAGGATATGGTGTTGCATTATTACTCTGCTTATTTGGTCAAGCATCTGATGATAAAATGCTCCAGCTTTCATCACCTTTACAGCAGTCATCAGTACAAGCTACTGGAGATGTCATGAATCATTCTGCAGTGGATGGTGAAGAGTCTAGCTCAAAACGAAGGCGATTAATCTGAGGCGAAGCAACACACAAATCCTATTGGTATACCCTAATAGGTCTTACTGTAATTCCATTTGCCACAATCAATAACGTTGTAGCCAGGCACATAATCACAAATTTTCAAGAAATAGGTTTCAGGAAGAAGTGCAAAATTTTTATATTTTTGAAAATATCGAAGAAATTTGTTTGACTGAAAATCATTATTTCTCCTGGAATCAACTCCTAATTTTGGTCGAAAAGTTGATCTACTAAAATAAATTCGTCTACCTTTGCTGATCAGTTTATATTATAAAAAATTACATCATATAGCCGTTAAATTTGGGGCTTAATTACATTTTTATCGAATCTATACAATTCTGTATTTTTTCATGTTGTAGGAACATGTAAGAATTGTTAGGAACATGTACAGAATATAATTGGCACACCATTAATAGTTCTGAGTTTTGAAAATTAGAAAGGCAAAAAGAGTAAATATGGGGCTCTCAACATCACAACGAGATTTGTTGCATCCATCTGCTGTTGTTTTTTAATTGAATGCATCGATTTGATTTCACTACATTACATCTAAGATTCCAAGAAAATGACAATATGTAAAAATGGCTTTTCCAGAGGGCAAGCTATAATTTCCAAAGTAATATAAATTGTAGATTTAGCAATATATTCGCTGAAAAGCCAAGAACTATTATTTTAATAATATTTATTTGTACTGTACATGGATTGATTCTGTGCAAGGGCAAATATTATGAAATTTTGAGACTGGATATGTCTTTTGATTTAATTAAACTAATGAAATATCATAAATTTGGCAGTCTGTTTCATAGGCTGTAGTAGAGGCTTGAACCATGTTATCCCAAAATCCAAATGAAATAAATTTACAAATTTTAACCCTCAGAACCACATCCGCTGTGTTGTACATTGATAAAATGCGTTAAGTTAATTAGAATCATAATATATTCGATTTTTATATTGTTGCATTAGCCTGTTAATCCAAGTAGAAGCAATTACATTAATCTCTTGATTCAGCATATAAAAGTTATCACTAAAAAATCGAAATTTTTCAACTGTTGTGTGTCATGGTTGTTTCTTTCACATGTAGCTTGTTTTGAACTTAATTTAATGTGTTGATGCATCATATTTGACTGGTGGTCACCTGCAACTCGGTCATAGTGAAATTTATATTCAGTTTTGATATTCTACATTACTACTGAATGTGTTTCCTATTTTTTTTGTTGATCAAAAATGCACTATTATGGCATAAGTTGTACTTCCTATTGAAGAAGAATTGCAATCAGCTCCTAACTTTTCATAACAAGTATTTAATTATTGGTAGAAAGTTTTTAGTGATGCCCAATGCGCTCAGAAGCGGTTGAAAATACGAGTTGGTAACATGGCATGGTCTCGTATTCAATGGGGCAAGGGAAGTTTCAAAATTATTTGTTATGTATAGTTGCAACCTACACTTTTTGTTAGTTTGCATAGCGATTTGAATTTATGAAATTGTATGATGCATGGACTTGACGGTGGAGGAAGCCGGAACCGACCAGTGGTTACGTGAACCACACCACCGCAAAGAGGAGTCTTTTTAAACATAATTATCCCACACTGGATTCGAGGCTGCGAACCCACACAGGGTAATCAGAGGTGCGATGGCACAAGCGTATTCTTAGCGCGAAGTACGATCCGCCTTGTCACAAAAACTTATTTAATCTTATTGCTCAGTTAATGATTGATATAAATCTTCACCCGGAGCCGCTTCAACATGGTTGGTTTCTCTCACTATGGCCTTATTCGTGACAATTGCCGTGTTTGGTCGAGTCGTTGTAGATAGATGAAGTTTGGTGTCTTGAAAACCGAAGCTGAGGGAAACAAAGCACATCGCTGCAAGACCGCGCATCATATGCACTGTATATAGACGGCGCTGCTATGGTCATTAGGTTCGCACAGGCAGTCGTCTACTGGCTTTACTGATCGATGTCTTATCCATTTTCGTAATTATGGGTTGCCGGTCCGCGAGAAATTTCGTTGTTTTTATGCCGTCTCAATCGCTTTACCGAAGACGAGGTTGCGTTGGTTTATTACGCAATTTCACTTGCCCCGTCATAATGCGACGTCTTTCGCGACATCTAGGCGCCGAGTAATCGCTTTTTCGGCTCCCATTCATCGCGAATGCGCTCCATGAAATCTCGCAAGATTCAGAAACCTAAAAATCGGCACGCGTGCTTTTTCGTTCTGCATGCTTTTCCTGGTTAATATGTCCATCCATATGAAAAGGTATGCATATTTCTTTGTTTAAAACAGTCAAGAGCAGTATAATATTTCAGTAAGAGTGCGACCTTGCAGATGCATGGTCACGAGTAGAGATGTACCGATGTATCGGGTATCGGTATCGGCAATATCGGCCATTTTTTCGGTATCGGCCATGTATCGGTATCGGTTAGATTAAGGCCGATATTACCGATATATTTACCTTTTTGATATGGTCCAGAATGTTTTAAAAGATAAGTTTAAATACTACTTTTTAATTTATTTTTGTCTGGAGAGATCGTGAGCTATGAGCCATACATGTCCCCACCCCTGCGAGAGAATAGGATTCACGTGTTTTTAGCTATTTATCAGCTAAACTAGCTCAACTAATTTAGCTATTTTCGCTGTCAAATTTTTATATTGACATTTTTAATATTACATAGTTTTTATGAAGAAATATATCAACACAGCACATAACAAAAAGCAACTAGGCTCCCAGTTTTAAATCATACAGTGGAATTGGGGTCCTTCCTTATTAACGGCACATGGACTTTTGGCACGGGTATAAATTCTGACTGTTTGTCGTCAAGTACGAGTGTCATTTAGTCCGTCGACATCGATAAACTAAATTCCGACACAATTATCCCACTACACAGGTATTAATTTTAATTCTGCTTAACTACACGATTTCTTTATAGATCTATATATTGACTTGACCGCCTAGCCCTAGACTGTCTCAAAATATATGATAGCAATTGTAAAATATTATAAAATAGCGAAGTAAAAAAACATCTTCAACGGTTAACGGTGGGCTTTCTTTTTGTCGGTGCTGATTGATATTCTTTCATGTTGGCTTTGACTTATTGCGTCGACGATTACGATTAGCCACTAAATTAAATATTTGTAAAATGCTTTTAATTTGAACGTAGGACGGCGGCGCTAGAATGTGTGGGTGATATTCGATATTCTTTTAAACACGAATAACGATATTTGAAGCTCGCGATATTAATATTAAATTCAAATTGGACATTCCGGCTTATGAGTTTTCTAATTGAACACCGAGATTACTAGCGTTACTGTACAATGTATCTTAATCAGTTACAGCATATGGATACCAAACATTAATTTCATATTATGTGATATATATATCTTTTTTTTCGATCTGAAATAATGTGTACAATGAACAACGCTTAAAGACCATTGTTTTAACCCGTCTGCCCTACACAGCATACCTAATTAAGTAATAATTACATAGTATCGGTATCGGAATATCGGTAATATCGGCCTTTTTGTAGTATCGGCGTATCGGTATCGGCGTTTTTAGCTGGTATCGGATCGGTATCGGCGACAAAAGTGGTATCGGTACATCTCTAGTCACGAGTCGCGCAAAAATATGTGGGCCGCTGAGATTTTTTCCAGGATTTTGAGCCTGGTGCCAAGTTACCGACGACTTCGTCATTGTAATGTAAATTCATTTCGTTCGAGGCGTGAGGATTCTAGGTATGATTACCTATAAGTATTCGATTCCTAAATTGTCGATTCCGATTCTCGATGCCTTAACATAGCTTACCGAGAAAAAATACCCACTTAAACAATATCATATTTCAGTAAGAATGCGACCTTGCGGGTGCATGGTCACGAGTCGCGCAAAAAAAACGTGGGCCGATGAGATCTTTTTCAGGATTTTGAGCCTGGTTATTTTTCACAACAAGAAAATGAATTCTAACAACAACATAATAACAACAACAACATAATAACAAAACGATCTATATGACCACTTTAAGTTAGAATAATTACTGTCATAGCGAAAATTTATTGCAACTCGAAGTTCCATTCGTTTACATGTCTTCCTGTGAGTCTGGATCGTAATTTGGAGACGGTAAACCCCGCTAAGATTAATGCTCTTTCTGATGCAGCGGATGTTGCTGGTACACAGAGGTACGTTCGGGCGAAAACTGCGATATTTGATAAGTTTGTTTTGTTGCCGTTGGCACGTGTCTTCCACCCGCGCAAACGAGCGAGTGGGAGGATAGTGTAAAAATATAGTGAAGTTTCTGGCGTTTAGCAACTCCACATAGAAGTTTATACATTTATGTGAAGGACTTGACACAAAACGTTATACCGTGTTTGCAACCAACTTTTAACCCTAAGAATCGATTCCAATGCATCGAAATCGATTCTATTCGATTTCACTAAGTAAGAATCGATTCCGGAGTCGATTCCGCCATCCCTATTGAGGCGTCGATCAACTGCAGAGAGATTAATATGATGAACCCGATGAAAATGAAAAAGCTTGATTAAAAGTGTGATTTTACTTTACAGTCCAGAATTAAAAAAGAATCACTGTCATAATTTTGGATATCTCTTGATAACGAACACCCATCGCTGAGTAATCGAGCAATCAAAATTTCCGTATTTTCAACCAGTTACTTATGCGTTATGCGATAAAACATTTTCATCACCAGCTTTAATAAAAACGAAGCAAAGAAATCCGCTGCGCGCGTCAACAAGCGGATATCCGTTTTTGTAATTTCACCCATTTTAATTTTTGGCCGGCACATTATTTGATAGTTTTTCTTCGTGTGAAATGTTTTTAAGTGTGCCTTTTTTGTCTAAAAGTATCTCGGGTGCCCGAAATTGCGCAAATATATGATATTGTTTTCTGTTCCGGTCATCTCAATTACGTGTTCAAATATTTCAAAACATATTTTGCGAGCTCGTGACCAGCTCCCCCATTTCTTCAACTTTAAAAACTGATATATATACTATTTTCCCCAATTCGTCGAATGACAGTTGGATGTCAAATTAGCAACAGGTACAACGATTTAAAAATACATAATATTCCAATCCAATTCTTCCACTACTCAGCCTTTGTTGATGTTTGCTTGCAGCCGTGCTGCATGACGGTATTCGGAAAATTGTGGTTGGTTTTTAATATTTACCAGCTTCGACTCCATCTGTGATCAGCCTCTGAGACACGCAAACAGCGATAGCGACAGTCACGAAGGTTTTGAAACCGGAAATTGTTATGCTTATAACTACGCCCAAGCCAATTTTCGCTGAATATTGATGCCCAAAATGGTGGTTACAGATGGTCCGGTAAATTGAATGTTATATTATGATAATATTTACAATTTGACAGGTCTTGTTATTTTGACATAATTATATATTTGTAATTCTCAGATATTTGTACGAAATGTTTGCATGCCTATTTTTATGAAGTATTTTAATCTATACCCTGCGTCTTGTGTATGGATTGACAAGTTCAGGTATTTCCATGTTTCATTTAAACACTGTCTAACTTGTCTCGTCCATCTAATTGAAGAGGCCTGCTGCACACTAACGCAAATGTATTTCTGTAAACTTCCATCCGACCAAAATCAGACTTCCTCAGACAAGCAGTTTACAACAATGAACAAATTAGTCTCGCTTCATAATTTCATATCCTCCATCTTTACTGTGACGTAACAAGTGACTTATTCTACCGTGCTTTGCGGCCTCTTCCTTGCTACGAGATAGAAGACGGTCGTTGCACTTTACGGATTAGGGAAGATGCTGTGCTACTAGAGTTGCCAACCGTCCTTTATTTCAAAGGACAATCCTCTAATTAAACTTTTCGGGTCTTGTCCTTTTTAGCATTTAGAAAAGATGCTAATTGTCATTTATTCTTTCCGACTTCGTTTTGCCCGATAGTTATAGTGCTGTGTTGATATCGTTCCGTTCTTAAAAAATCGCCTCCGTTTATGTATTTGCAAGCTTTTAATTTCGCTTTCGTCCGGCTCAAATAGCCAAAAAATAACAATTATATTAACATCGTTTGAGTCAATGTTAAATAAACATTAAATGAAGAAAAACACATAAAGATTGTTTTAATACAGGGTCGTCCAACATTTTTGGCCGAAGGGCCACATGTAGTTTACTAATAACTGTGCGGGCCACCTAACATAGCATTATGTTCTAGCTTTTCTACACTGACTACAGGTTAATGGAAAAACAAACAATACCCGCACACCAAACTTTCACAATTATTATGCCAATAAAACTTGTTTCTCAACCATTGATGGGGCGCCATCAGAAGTTATTTCCGAAAGTTTCGTTAAAAAAAAGCCAGGACGGAGAATAGCTGGGGTTGCCAACTTTGTGTTAAACCATTCCGGGACACCTCAATGTCTAAACCAGTGGTTCTCAAACTTTTTGAACCGCGCCCCCCTTTGAAAATTTTTACAAACTTTGCCCCCCCCCCCTCTTTTTGCTTTGAAAAAATGCTTTTGTGATGGTAAAGTTGTTATATATTAAGATGGCGCTATAACTGATTGTTGGTCTCATAGCGTTATTGCTCAGATTGTTTAAGCATAAAACGCTTCGGAGTACAACTTCGCCATTCACTGTCGATAGTAGTCAAATAGTAGTTGGTCATCATACATTCTCGTTATTCCGCTCAGTTTGCAATATATACTTCAAAGTCAAACTAATTATTAAGTAAAACTAAACAAACAATAAACCTATGCTTTAATGTATTTTCTGCTTAAACGTTTACATAAGACACGTAAAATTTCAATCAATTGTTGTCGCTAAGGCGTTTGCGATTGCATTTCGTTTAAATCAGCGTGGCGTGTTCTTTGGGCCCTAAGAATATTGATTTCGATGTTTATTCTTTCTAAATCCGAAATTTCCCTCGACATATTCTTGTGCCGCGAAGAAGATTATAATTACTTTTTTTGTTCTCGAATAGAACCATGACATCTCTGCGGAAAACGAGTTAGTTTTTATCATAATCATCAGCTACGAGAAGCTAAAGATAAAATATAGAAGTGAATCCGTAACTAAAAATTTCTTTATTGTGAAAGCGGCATTATAAAATACTAAAAATGAAACGGAAAACTTGTGAAATGTTGACTCTTCGACGTATAAATGAAAAAAAAACTAAAACGGGGAAATGTACAATTTGTGCTAAGTAGATTTAATTATTTAACAAAAAACACAAGTGCTCAGTATTTCTGGTATTTAAATTTGTATTTTTACTGTGATTTTGCCGCTTTAACAAGATAGATAGTTTTGTTAGTTTTCACAAAGTTCAAGTTGAAATTTGTAATCCTAACGGAAATATAATAATTAATGAACTCTCGCTACGACAAGAGCTGTCAGCAAGGCGTTCTAAAACAGACGGCTATGCGAGCCTGAAAACTGACTGGCAAACGGGCGCTCCGGAAGTATGTGTACCAATATGACGCACAACCTGAACCCCAACTGGAACACATACCATGTCCTGCATGTGCGCCATCTTTGTAAACATACTTCGGGAACACCGAAAAATGAAATTCTACTCATAAAAGAGTCTCACACTAACAGTGCATTATAAACTAAAAACAAGGAACACAAAATATTGTTACACGCCGCAACTTTATTGACTAAATTTTTTAACAAATCTCACTGAATCAAGTTTTTGATCCTCTCAAATTAAGGTGACTGCTGTATATAATGTTTTCATTCATTTTGCAATTATTCAGCATATTTTAGTGGCATGTCATCAGGAGGTCACGGTCGACAAAACATGTCTTATCCACAAGTTTAAACTCACTCCTATTTGAATGAACCATACATGTAATCGTTTTTGATGAAAAATATATTTGCGTGAATTACATCCGTTTACAGTTTTGAACGAAGCCGACACGCCCAGCCCGAGACGCTAGACCCCAATTCCTTGACTGTCATGGCCATTCCGGGACGATTGGTAGCCCTAAGAATAGCTGTATTTTGATGTATCGATATATTGCCTATTGTTTTAATTTGTATTATAGCGTACTTGTGGCTGTTCTTTGAGTCAATTTATCACTTACGCTAATACTAAGACTGTACGATAACATCGCTAAAGTTTACACTGACATCAACGACGCAAGTTGTATTTAGACCTGCATTCCATAACTCATTTTCAATTCAAATACACCTTGTGTTAACACAAAATTAAAAAAAAAATTGATATCAGTTTATGATTTTATCAGAAATAGATTATTTAGAGGTAGCACTAATAACTGCAGAAAAAATAAAGCACTTCAAACCTGTATGTATAAAATATAAAATAGAATAGAGTAGACAATACCGCAGTAGTTGTGTTGTCTACTTATTTCATTGCTAATTTTTTCAATTCTATTCGGTCAATTTTCCCAAGTTTAGATTTTGGTATTTTGGTGACAAATTGGATACCCCCTCTTAACTGTTTGTAATCGGCAAGTTTGTCTGAAATTAATCGAAATGATTAGATTAGTTGGGGACGGATATGAGAGAAATAAATAAATAATGCGGCCGTTTGCTGTACCTTTAATAAGCTTCTCAAGTTGCTCGGCTGTGACTGATTCGACTTTTCGTACAACCAACGCTTTCGGTAGCTCTCCACAAACTGGATCAGGAACACCAACAACTCCAACATCTTTAACACCCGGGTGCCTTAGAAGAAGATTTTCTATTTCGGCAGGCGGCACCTGTATATAGAAAAGTGCGGTTAAACATGGAAGAATGAGATTTTCACATTCAATATTATTTTGCGTAGCCGACAAAACATCAACGAAATTATAGTCAACGAGGAGATCAAATCGTGGTAAATTCATGTAGGCTTTAAATTTGTGGCGTAATTCTCGGGATAACAAAAAAAACAGGAGAAGACATTAATTTACCTGATAAGCGTTGTATTTGATAACTTCTTTTAATCGGCCAACTACGTAAAGCATGTCATTTGCAATATGTCCTATGTCGCCTGTGCGAAGGAATCCATCTTTTTTAATTGTTTTTTCTGTTGCTTCCGTATTTTTATAATATCCACTAGTCATCTATAAAGCGAAATGATCGGCCTTAAAGTAATTCTAATTGAGATTCTTTATCAGTTTTTAGTTAGCATTCATTGGTAGCCTACACATGATAAAAAAGTTTTATTACAGTCGCAGTATTCAACTGCTTGATTATAATATAATTGACGGCCATTCATTGCTAATTTATTCTGGTGTACAATATTATGAACAATGCTCTGATCTGTTTTACTTTGTTCAGATCAGATAACTTGGCAAGTAAAATCCATTTACAGGTCAGAAAATTTATTTCATCAAACTAAACATTTGAAACCTACTTGTGGGCCTCTGACACAAATCTCACCGTCTTCACCAGATTTTACTTCTTCTTCTGTATTTGGATCAATAATCTGTAAAATTTTCACATATTGGAGAATTCCATGTTACCATGCCAAAACTTCAAATCATTAAATAGAGTTATTATATTTAAATCTTACCATAATTTCTGCATTCACACAAACCGAACCAACTGAATCTGTGAAAGAATCGGCTTCATTGTTCCAAGATATTGGAAAACATTCCGTCATTCCATACACTGAAAAGATTGGGTCATAAATTCTATTGCATTATTATGTATATAACTCTGTTTCTGATGCTCATGAAGCTAAAGAAGAAAAGTGTTCCTGGTTTTATGGAAGCATTACATATATGTACTATATACAGTGGTGGGATTCAAATTTTTTGTTCCACCACAAAAGTCATATTTTTCAGCTGGTCCTGTTACAAACAGAAAATTGAGAGTACCAGTAATGCTAACCGGTTCGCTGATCTTATAAAATTCCGTGAGATGGTTCTATAGAACCGGTGCGAACCGGCTGAGTCCCACCACTGACTATATATATATATATCATATTGTTAATCAAAGCTCGTAAGTTTTACTCAGTACTCAGAGTTCAGTACAAAGTGCAACATAAACTCGTTAAAGATTTTTTCTTCTCGAGGTATGAACAATTCGTAAATTTGTCTTGGAGAGTTTTAAATCTTCAGAATCTAGAAAAACACGTGTAATTTGCGCGATCCCGTTCTTGGAATAACGTGCTATCCCTTGTTCCTGTTTCGGATGTTAAACGGCCGCAGCTGACAACTAACGTTATATTTGGCATTTCGAAATTATGTATTAAAATTATGCAAAGCGTGTTATGTCAATACCGCACGATTTTCTGAAATAAAGAACCTGTTGTTAGAGAGTTCTATACAAAAGACAGCCTGTTTTTAAAATTTCGAATCCAGCACTGTTTTTAGTATATTCCACAACATTTTTTGCGATCTTACAAATAAATCAGTATGCAAAAACTGACCTGGATAAACTTGAAGGCTGAATCGATCAATGACGGCTTTCATCACTGTAGGTGGAATTGATGCGCCTCCAGTGATTGAAGTTTTCCATGATGTCGTATCATATTTGCGGTGCAACTCTGTCTGAGACATTTGTAGCAGGATGGGTGGCACCAGAACAAAATGATTCACCTTGATGTTGGAAGTACAGCATTATTGAATTATTTGGAATATTTTGGTGACAGCCATTGAAGAAAAGTTTACAATTTTTTTTTATTACGCGCAATTTACTCATTTTCCACACCTCGTACTTCTGTATCGCAGCTAAAGCTCTTTCAATGTCGAATTCGTGGTCCATGATGACTCTCACTCCTCCTTGCAAAGCTGTCAACACCAATATAAATCCACCCACGTGAAACATGGGTCTTTCATTATAAAATGTATCTCCACGTTTGTAGCCGAAGTGATGCCTTAGTATAAACAGTTCTTCTCAAATAATTGTTAAGAACATTGTAAAGTGAATATAAAGCAATACAAACTCACAAACACATTTTGATAAAAATCAAGTTAATTACCAAATTGAACAGTTCATTTAATTTAAAAGGTGTCATGCTTTGACTTTCTAAAGTTTAATGAGGGCCAGAGTAACCTCGTGTTGACTACTAAATTCAATTATAAATATGTTATTTTACACTTAATATTCAATACATATTACCAAGTTGATGATATTGTTGCAATCATGCTAAAATGAGTATGCATAACACATTTTGACAATCCCGTGGTTCCACTTGAGTGGGGCAGAAATGCCAGATCCTTTTTTGGTGATATTTCGTAAGTAGATACACAGTTTTCTAAAAAAAAAAGAAATAGTATATACAAACATATGCAGTCCATATTCTTTACTTACATTAGTTTTTCCTACCTTCATTCTCCATACTTGAAACAATGACTTCATCCCATGTTTCAAATTCAATACTTTTCCCAATGACTATGATTCTCTAAACAAAAAATATGATTTCTTTCGGAATATTAGATGAAATACCAATTTGGCAGACATAATTTAATCACATCTATAATTTATACCTTTGCAACAGCCATTTGAGATAAAACATTTAACGAAACGAAGTAAAATTTTATGAATAAGTTTAAATGTCACCTGATGCTTCTTAAACTACATTCATAAAAACGAGAACACGAATGTTTAAATCTTTATACCTCTTTCTATACAATTATGGAACTCAGATAATTTCATTAATACAATTTTGTGAATCAATTTAAGAATGAATTAATTGATTTAAACTGTTTACGAATAGTTGACATTGTCCTGTGGTATTGAATGTCTTCGCATCCCGGTGTAAATCAAAACACTAGTTTATGAAGCGTTATTTAGCAAATATTTTTTCATCGACTATATAAATGGAAATTTACTACAGCCATATCTGGATATGAATTGGACTGTTTTTTTTGTTTTGTTTCATTATTTTCTGTTGAATTCTTTCAGGTCTTCCTTTCAGTCTCTCAAACTTTTGTTGATAATTTGAAAACTACGTCATCATGAAACGATTTTACCTTGGTCTTCAAATATTTAAGATATGCTTCCCTATTGTTATTGTGTAATACAAAAATATTCTAATACCTGAACTTGATTACTCTGGCTATTTTCAAGAGATCGCTTTACGGTATCTATGCACTTTTCCGATACGATGAGTATTTTCGGTTTTGTGATTTTGAAGATATGTTGCATTTCTCCTATAAACGAAACAACAAAAATTGTTTAGTTGTTTTATGTTTTACCTATTCTTGAGAAGAAGCATCACTACTTACTACTTTGAGTTATGTTAAACTGTATTTTTGCTTGGAAAGGCAGCAAAACATGAGTTAAAGGGTAGTGACGACTTGATCGAGGAGACTTTATTATCCAAGTCAGCAATATTTTTAACTAAATATACCGCATATCAGGACTTTATCAAAGAGTTGATAATGAACAATTTACCTTCCTTGTATGCAGGATTATAGAGGGATATGATTGCTCCACAAGATATTACTCCCACCATTGCTACTACATGTTCCAGGCAATTGGGTGTCACAAGGCTGACAACATCTCCTTTATTTATTTTCTGTTTCTGGAAAAATCTCCCACACGACTGTATTTGTTTGTAGAGCTGTTTAAAAGTGAGGCTCTTTCCTTCTACGTTGTTTTCTATCTGTTTTTAAAAATTAAAACAACATACATTGATTGCCGATTGCATGTTCATTACCGAGCAAGGGATTTATCAATCGAAATTTATTTTTTCACCGTCAAGTATATCCGTAATCAAAAATCAATGAGCCAACTACTACAGAAATTCTGGCATGCGTTTACGAGTTGTTGAGTTTGTATTGAGCTGTAAAGTACACATCCATAACAGGTTATAAATATAAATGGTACTTACCAAGGCAGTGTCGTCTCCATATTTTTCTATACACGACAGAAAAAAGTTGCTCAGAGATACTTCAGGAATGTCAAAACACTCATTAGGTGATTTTAATGGCATCTTAATTTGACTCAGTAATCACGAATTTATATAACTGATTTCAAACTATGGCCTTACTCGGTATATAATCTGAAATTTATAGTCACCATGAATCAGAATCTTGTCTTAGTATTTTAGCTGATGTCCATATATGATATCTATAGATTGTGTACTTTGTAAACAAACATTTAACTACAACTATTTTCAGCAAACAGAAATACTTTTGATTCACTGATGCGTGACTGTAGGTTCTAACAAGCATTGTGTTAAGATCTATTTTAGGCTATTTTTAATTACATAAAATTAGTTTTTAATTAATTCAATCAATTATTTTGCGCGTTTAGTGTTTTCTTTTCAACGTTATATATACATATGTATATAAATGACTTTTATTTTCATTGACCTATTCTTACAACATATTAAATTTGTTTTGCATCTGATCAGCCCTTTCGTGGGTGAAATTTGACCCAAACATAGAAACGTAAAATATAAAAAACGTAACAATGTCGAAATTTGATGATGTCTGCATTTTCCCCAACCTATTAACGAGACTAACTATGCAATTCTGAAATATCTTCATTCGATCGTTAACGACTCCACAATCAGATTATAGTATTATAGAAAGATAAGCAGTAAAATATGTAAATTTTAGTGGTTCGCGCATGGTGGTACTTAAAATACAGTTCGTCTACGGCAAAAAAACGAGGCAAAAAAACGATAGAATGCAATGAACGTTAAACGAGAATATCGGTCGGAGACCGCATACTTGTCGATCGAAGGTTAGGGGATACCCCAAATCAGCGATCTTACTCCATAATGACACCGTGTGTCTCTCATCACCAATTAATTAATAACTCGCTAATTATACGACATAATTCAACTAAAATAAATAGGCTTCTGATCCGAGCTATGATAAATGCACATGCAAAATTTGGAGCAGATTCAACCTCGCGTGCATCTAACAGACAGACGGACAAACAAACAAACAGACAAATACCTATCAACATACTTACCGATCTTAAGATCGATAAGTAATAAGTGATCACTTAATTAATGAAAATTTATTGTTAAAATCAATAAAATATTCTAGATTAATATGTATGATCCAAACAGCTTTACAATAAAAATAAAAAATGGGCGAAAACTCTGCTACACGTAAACAACATACTTTCAATGAAATAAAAAAAACGAGAAGTAAATTGACTTTTCTGCGGGTTTCGTCCCATTATTCAATAATTAACATCTTTAGGAGCTCAACAATTTTTTCGGAAATGAATGAACAACTTTAACATTATTCAAAATAAAAAATTTAGTAAAAACTTCACCATAAGGGAAACAAAAATCTCTCAGTACAAGAAAAAATAGAAATTATACTGACAATTTCACCAAGAATTTAATCATGATACTCTTTTGAGCACCAATTATATTTTGAGTATTATGAAACAACATTTTAAATAAAATAAAATAAATAAAGAAAACGAGCAAAAATTATATCAATAGTCGAATAAAATACTCAATATGATATAACAAGGAATATACGGACCTCCTGAAGTATACGCACCAAGATGGCGCACAACCTGAACTTAAGTTGTGTACCAGATTAGGGTTTAGGTTGTGCGACATATTGGTGCGCATACTTCAGGAGTACCGAATATTCATTCTTTGGGCGGAGATATCGTACCAAATTACTTATAATATAATCATATCGTTAAAAATGGCTAATTTTGGTCCAATTTTAATCATACCTTGTTGGGGAGCATGAAATATTTTGTTTTTGATGAAACAAAAATGGGCGAAAACTTTTCCAGAAGTCGGACAAAAGACTTTTAATTCAACAAAAAATGTATTTCTACACTAATATTCCCCAAAATCGTCCATTGGGGCTCAAAAAATAGCTCATGTTTAGTTAACATTTATGTCTACGCTTATGTACAGGGTGTCTCAAAAGTAAGTATACACTTTCAATCTAGATTTGCTTTTCAGATACCCATCATACAGCGTCCATTTCTTCAGAAAACATAGTATGGATAAGTAGTAAAACTTAGTTATTGTTTTCATTTTTTAACAATCCACAGAATAAAATGATATTGACCCAAGAAATGAGCTGCAAAATTACTGTTTGGCAAGAAGCATAGAAATTAGGAAGAACTCTGCTCCTCTTTAACTAAGAATTCGGAATTAATTTGGCTTCTGCACGATGAACAATTTATGCAGTTTATCGTGAATTTATGGAAACTGGATCTGAGGTTGATGCACAAAGATCAGGAAGACCACGGAGCGGACGCTCTGAGGAAAACATTCAAATTCTCTGTTAAAGTGGCCCTAAGTTTGCCTTTACTGATTTATATGCTTTTGCCAAACGGCAAATTTGCATCTCATTTCGTTGGTTAATCTTCTTCTGTGGGTTGTTGAAAAATGCAAACAATACCTAAATTTTACTACTTATCCATACCATGTTTCCCGAATAAATGAACGCTCCATGATGAGTACCTGAAAAGCAAATCAAAATTAAAAATATATACATACTTTTGAGACACCCTGTATTATATTCTGTCTGTTAGTCATCATTTGCTGATGGTGTCAAAACTCATTATAAGACGGTTTCTCGGCTATTTCTTTTTTTTGTCACCAACTTCTTACGCCAATCTACGCTGATATCGATACGTTCAACTGCTTATCAATTCACTCTTGAAACTGGATCATGTGATATCGAATTTCTTAGCTGCCTATTTTTCGTCTTTTCCGGCTACTCACTCAAATCTTGCGTAGGCAAGGTTATATTTGCACTTAAGCACAGCGAGAACAATGCAACATAAATAAATGAAGAATGAAATTGTATACGTTGTTTAATATAGCTATAGCAAACACCGCTCAGACTTTGATCCGATATACAAATTAATTAAACGTGTATCCACGTATTGTTTAGAATAGACAACACCGTCATTAATGTGACGCAAGTAGCGTACAAATAGTTTTCAAGTTCTTAATAATGAAGAAGGCCACTTATTATATCTTTTTTTCAGAATTTCGCCAATGAATTTTCCGTTTTACTTAATTTCTGACAACACTCTTCATGAAATAAGGTACTACTTTATTACGTCACACTTGTCGTATCTGTCGTGCTTGTCCATCGACCTTTTCAGTAAAATTCGTGCTCAGTTATGACCCTCTGCAATGATACGAATGCGCTCACTTGATTATATATTTTGACATTGCTCTTTTGTTTCTTATTGTACCAAGTAAGTTGTTCCGCATTTTGCAAGCGATTTAGAACTTCAATACTATTATTTTCATGCATCATCGTGTGTTGGTAACAGTATTTTAACCTCTTTCTTATATTAGTTCGAAAACTTAGAAACGGGGGTTGCTGTCCTTCCTATAGTCGACCTCCTGCACAAAGTTTTTAGCCATTCAATCCTCGATCCTCCACTGAATTTCTTTCTCACACTTGCATCCACTAGCCCTGCTCCTGCAGCGTTCATAACCTCCAACCATTTCCCCCATCTCCCTCAGGTCATATTCTTGGCCCACTGCTTTATCTCCACCGGCTTCCCTATACTCGAACCACTGCCCTATCACCCGGCGGCCTTGCTATCCTCAACACTTTGCACCTTCCCATCAGCCGTCCGTCCTATCCTTAACCAACCCCACAATACCGTTAACCAACCAACCTTGCCCCAATCTTCTTACACTTGACCCAACGCTTTTAAATCTTCCATACTACGCCCTGAATCCAGCTGTGCCTTATGCACGCACCGATTTTTTATTTATTTTTTAATCTTGTTTACCTACGGCTATGCAAACTTTCAGGCTCTATACGGGTCAAGTATGCTAATGAGGTTGTCAAAACGTGCTCCGAGAAAGCATTTCAATAAGTTTGGCCGCATTCATAAGATATTATTTTGGGTAGTACGAAACAAATCGATAGCTCCAGTGAGTGTAAATGATGACAAAAATGTTCGAATCTTGAAATGTTGTCTTACTTATATCATTTTCCAAGCCATTTATTGCAGGCTTTTTGTCTGGAATCACAAATAGTAATCAACCACGCTAATCGGTAGCTAAACATGTGATACTCAAATCTTGCCAGGTTATGTCGCTGTTGGAATTAAGTGTTACAGCAACGCATCTACTCAACTATTGGATTTACATCGCACTGAGATCAAGAGCTTTTTTTATTAAATCTCAAATATCAATCCCGCCACATCGATAGAAACTATATTCCCGAAAAATTTAGAAACTCTTCCGAACTCTTGTTCGTACTTTTCAAATATGGTCTTCAACCACACCTAATTCCCCACGCTCGACCTTGTGAAGTGACTCAAATCAAGATACCAAGTTGTCAAAGACGAAGAAAGGACATTCAAGTGAATTTTTGAAACAATTATTCAACGAGAAAAGCAATCTTTCTGAAACTCACGACTTTTACCCGGCCTTATCCTTACATGGATGGGTCAAATGAAAGCATTATATTTCATAATCCGAGTATTACTTTTGAATCGATGGATGGTATGTTATTTACATTAATGTTCTAATGCAATTTGCTATGGCCACACATGGCCATTATCATTTTTATCATTATGATAATTGATGATTTGATGATCATTATGATAATGATTTAGTTGTTTGTTGGTTAGAATTTTTCAAAAGGCTCGATTATATCCTCAAAACGTTCGAAGTGACTTGAGTAATATGAGCAAGATGATTCGACTACTCTTCGTAGAGCCTCGAAGATAATTTGAACGGGTCTTTGCAATAGAACAAGTAGTCAGTTAAAACACGACATCAATTAAGTGCAACTTTAAGCAACGTGATATAAGTTTGTGATGAGACAAAAAAAATAGACTTGATAGCGAAGATTACGTGCGTTGTGATATATCCCTAAAGCTGAACCCAAACATGTGACGGTCATTGCGATTGTAGGCAGAAAATGCTTCACGGCGTTTACTTTTATTATCATTTATCGATATCTCTCGAATAATAAACAGAAAACAAGTTCTACCTCAGATTAAAACTGGAGTGTGTTTCATTGTGCTCAAGGTGAATATTATAATATATAATCAGGGTGTAGATATTGGGGTTTAGATAAAACTGTTAAATTGAAAAATGCAGTAATGTACAGATAGATGGTTGAGAACAGTTTATTTAGTTCTCTTTTTTAACGCAGCAGTAATATTTATCCATATTTCTGGTAAATAATCAAAATTATTATAAGCTCATGCTAATTGTAAACGTTGAATTTTTCATTGGCAGCACTAATCACTGCAGGGAGCATTAAACGCATTTATCATCTATGTATGAAATATGTATAGATAATAGACGATCCCCGATAATCATGTTGTCCTCTTATTTGATTGCCAATTTTTTCAATTCTTTCCGGTCAATTTTTCCAAGTTTAGATTTCGGTATTTTGCTGACAAATTGGATACCTCCTCTTAACTGTTTGTAATCGACTAGTTCACCTGAAATTAATTAAAATGATTAGATTAATTTAAGTCAGAAATATAAAAAGTAACATTTAAATTTGATTGTTTTCACTACTTTTAATTAGCTTCTGGAGTTCTTCGGTTGTGACTGATTGAACTTTTCGTACAACCAACGCTTTCGGTAGCTCTCCACGAACCGGATCAGGAACACCCACTACTCCAGCATCTTTAACACCCGGGTGTCTCAGAAGAAGATTCTCTATTTCGGCTGGCGGCACCTGAATATAAAAAAAGAAATTTCAAAATATAAGAAAAGGATATTTTCGTTATTGATATTACTTCTCGCGAATTAATTTTTTTATTCTCCAACCTGATATGAGTTGTATTTAATAATTTCTTTTAATCGTCCAACTATGTAAAGCATGCCATTTGCAATATGTCCTATATCGCCTGTGCGAAGAAATCCGTCTTTGTTAATTGCCCTCATTGTAGCCTTCGTGTTTCCATAGTAACCACGTGTCATCTAATGAGTAAAACAATTGGCCAGTTGAATATATATCTTAAGCCGGATACGTTGGCAAGTAAATCATATTTGCATGCAAAATATTTTTTAATTGTGATTAGAATAGAAGCATTCAAAACTTACATGTGGCCCTCTGACACAAATCTCACCGTCTTCGCCAGATATTACTTCTTCTCCTGTATTTGGATCAACAATCTGTAAAATATGTTACAAATTGAGGGAATATTATTTTGAATTTTGTTGTCTTTATTACACATCCTACGATGCTAAATCTTGTTACAGATCTAATATAATTAAATCTCACCATAATTTCTGTATTCACAAAAGCCGATCCAACTGAATCTGTAAATGATTTGCCTTGATTGTTCCAAGATATGTTAAAACACTCTGTCATCCCATACGCTGAATAATGTTTGATAACATGTTTTATCGCATTAATATATATTTTGATAAAGCACATAAAAGCTAAATATCAGTATTCTTTGGTTTTATGAATGTATTGCAGGTACGATTGTCATGTTGTTACCAATAAGAGGCCTCGTCCATAGGTCCCTATTAGGAGATATAAGGCCTGTGTAAGCTTCGTGTATAAAAACCTCCACACATATTGAAAAATTCTATCAGAGCTTATAGATTTTGCTAGACAAGAGAAGAGGATTAGTAAACAAAATATTGTTCCAAATAGCATTCGTTACTGTTCGAGGTGCAGTCTGTTATTGAATTCTTCTTATTTATACTACTGAATATAGCAAAACTGGGTAAAAATATTGAAAAAAAAATTCGTTGGTGATTCTGGTTTATTGCGCGACATATATTAAATTATTACAACTTAAGTCAGTTTGCGACAACTTACCGGGATATATATGAGGACTGAATCGGTCAATGACGTCCCTCAATATCGTAGGTGGAATTGATGCACCTCCAGTGATTGAAGTTTTCCATGATGATGCATCATATTTTTGGTGCAATTCCGTCTGCGACATTTGTAACAAGATAGGTGGCACCAGAAGAAAATGATTAACCTAGTTGTAAACGTATAAAATTATTATAATAATTGTGATATTTTGTCGACAGCTCAGTTAAAGTCAAGGTCTTTGATTATTAAACAAATATTACTTGTTTTTCAGACCTTGTACTTTTGTATTGCAGTTAAAGCTTTTTCAACTTCAAATTCCTCATCCATAATAACTTTCAATCCTCCTTGCAGTGCTGTCAACACCATTATAAATCCACTCACATGAAACATAGGTCTTTCATTATATAATGTATCTCCACGATTGTAGCCAGACAGATGCCTTAGTAAAAACAGTCTGAATAATTGGTTCTAAAACATATAGAAACTCACAAAAAAATAAACACTTTTAAAAATATACTGCTAATTTTCTGATTAAAACAAGCTGGCCCTCTCAGCCAAAAAGCTTCGACAAACCCTGGCCAACTTAAGCAGCTCATTTATTTAGAAATGTATATTGTACTTTATTTTATCTATATTGCCGGACCAATCAATTTTATATTTTCATTACCAAAAAAATCTCTAACAGGCTTCACGCCTTTTTATCATTTTTCAGTCTTAATATTTCACCCCTTTTTTGCCGTTTTATTTCATACAACTATATTTCATACAATTTATTTTACCAAGTTGATAATATCGTTGCGACCATACTAAAATGAGTGTGCATGACACATTTCGACAATCCAGTGGTTCCACTTGAATGCGGTAGAAATGCCAGATCTTGTTTTGGCAATATTTTGCAAGTAGATACCCAGTTTTCTGGAAGAAATAGTAAATCATATATATGGATTTAGATCATCTACAATATAAATATGCCAATCACATTCTTTAAATATCATTGGCTTGTCTTACCCTCATTTTCTTTACTAGATGCGATGGCTTCATCCCAAGTTTCATATTCGTCACTTTTCCCAACGACTATGATTTTCTAAAATACAACGATGTGTTGATTATTCACACACAATGGCAGATTGAATACCACGTTGCAAGACTACGGATGCAAATATTATTTTCATTTTGTTTTTAGCGTTGTATTCGAAAAGTCTTTCCAATTTCCTTTGATCGTAATTTACAACTGCATCAAACCAACGACCGTCGGTGGGAATGCATCATTAAGGTAAGAATCGAATTATCGTAGGATCAGCAAGAAAACCTTGTCAAAGTCTTCATGATTCACAATTTTAACCTAAATTCAAATACTATCTGATCCAAATTACATCCGTATTACCAGATCAGGTACCACAGTCTACCGTTCACCATACAACCACCCACGTTCGCCAAGCACGGGGTCGGACGTTCGCTATGCACGAGATCCATATCACAATTTCGTGTCCTCTATTTGAGACAGTCCTCAAAGGCGACCGCCTTTATGGATATGTCTTAGTCAAGGATAATTTGCTTTAAGATATCGCTTTACTTTTGCTAAGATTGGCGCTCGTTTTTTTTTTGTAAATAATGTGGTATTGGTTTAGCGGTCTTAGATTACTCTTTTGAGTTTTGACATGAAGATTCGTTGCTAGCTAGGCATACTTGAATAGTGATGATTAGAGTTGCTCAATATAGGAATATTTTGATGAGCACAAGGTAAAATAACTATCAAAACATTTAAATACTTGAACATGGTTATTCTGGTCGTTTTCAAGAAGTCTCCTCACAGTACCAATGCTTATGTCCGACACGATAAGTATTTTTGGCTTCGTAATTTCAAATATATGTTGCATTTCTCCTAAAAAACAACAAGGCCATAGTTGTTAAGTTGATTGCTACCCTCCCAATTAACAAACAAACGGACCATTCACAGAGGTAGCAAAACACGAGTTAAAAATAGTGAATAATTGAGCAAAATACCTTTATTTTATCTAACTAAAGAATTTCACTCAACTTGAATATACCACATTTCATTGCCACTCTATCACACAGCCGGTAATACAAAACTCACTTTTGCTGTATGAGGGATTATAGAGGGATATGATTGCCCCGCAAGATATTACCCCCATCATTGCTACTATTTGTTCCAGACAATTTGGAGTCAATAGGCCCACAATGTCTTCTTTTTTTATTTTCTGTTTCTGAAAAAATATTCTACATGAGTGTATTTGTTTGTGAAGCTGCTTGAAAGTTAGTTGCTTCTCTTCAATCGTGTTTTCGATCTGGAATAAAAAAGAAAAAACTTTAGTTTCCAAACTTATCCGCTGACGTGTCTATGTGTGACCAGGCGAGTACCAGGCCCAAAGCAAATACTACAAAGTGATTTTCCACGTTCGAGTTTATTATCACATGTAAATATCAGCTATTAACATTCATATTTATGACTACGGATTATAAATACAAATGATACTTACCAAAGCAATATTTTCTCCATATTTTTCTATACGCGACAGAAAGAAGTCGCTCAGAGATACTTCAGGAATGTCCAAACTTTTGTATGGTGAATTTAGAGGCATCACGAAAATGCAGCGTTACCATGTATTAAAACCTAGGCTGTGTGAAATTGAATCGAAATTTTCAAGCTACGAAACGTCTCTGTACATACGCTATATATTACATTCATTGTGAATCATAATTTTGTCCTATTATTTTTGTTACTATTCATTTTATACAGCTATCCTATATGTACCTTGTAAAATATACGGTTTAGAACTCCACATATGGTTCGTGAACATTTTGCACAAACACACAGCTATGATTTGTTCATTAGACTTTCAATCTGATATCTCTAGCCCAACTGCAAATCTTTAAAATTGTTAACATGCTGTGCAATGTCTAATTAGTATATGTGGAATATAGCCCTATCTGTAATTTGGTTACTATATGTTTTCCAGTTCACCTATGGAACTATGTATCGAACCTATGTATATTGTTTAGGCAAACTAGCGTTATCCACTAAATTAGACCACCTCATTCAAACATTGTAATAATCTAAAAACAATCGATTCATACTTATCCCCAATTGAAAAATATTGACCAATCAGAATAGATTCATCTTAACAAAAATACCATGACACATTTACATTTTATAAATTACTTCAAGACCCTTTTACTTTTGACCCTTGACCTTCGAAATAATTCATACTCCCGATTCGCTGCTGTTTGTCCAAAACCCCAACCTTTCCGCGTCTACTCTCAAGCGCTAGTCTACTTATGATTTTAAATACAATAAAGATACGAATGTCTGGGGATATCTGCATTGGTTAAAACTTGCATATCTGCCCTCCGACCTTGTTAATTCTTCACGTCTTTTTATCACGCTTTAAATTGAAACATCGACGTAATGTTAAGTCTGAAGCCTAACAATGTTAAAATTCTGATAATCATTAAGCTTCAATCTTACAAAACTTAATTATGACTACAATACTTCTGCACGATACTTTTTTTTGGTCATTTCTTTTAATGCCTTGGCAATAAGAAGACAGTTTTCATTCATTCGTTCTTAGAAATTTTTGCTTTTGAATATTCATAATATGCTCACATACTGTTTTGTATTATAACTGATTGGTCGTGAACGCACTTCACCTTCCATGAGCAAATACTATATCTTTGTACTTTGTTAATTAAAAAACAAGGATAATTTTGGCACATTTATTGGCGTGCTCGGTAGCGACAAAAAAAAGTCTGATTTTTCTAATTCAGTGGTTCTCATCCTGTGGGAGCTTTTCAAGTGGTACGCGAGCAGCTTTAAATTATTGCAACAATTAACTTTTGAGTTGAGTTCGCAAATGCTGCGATGGACAAGGCTAACTTAGCTATATCAGTAGGCCTACCTGCAAACGGCACATGGTTGAATAATTTTAATAAAAATGAGAATTTCAAACACGTAAATCAGCTTATGAGCACCAACATATCAAAAGACTCTCAAAATAAGTATAAAATTGCAATAGCAAACTATACGGTAATAAAAAAAATTCTGGGGTCAAGGGTCGAAAAAACGGCCTATGGACCAGTTCAGTCTTTAGAGATCGCCCTCGCATGCTATTGTCTATGAACGAATCGAGATTTGCATGTTTTGGTCTGACTTGCAAATTAGATCACAAAGGATGTAGTATCACATTGTAAAAAATACTCCCATAGCGGGTGTCTTGGACCATTGTTCACCTCGCCAAAAAGGGGATTTTTCGGTGGTACGCGGACAGAGTAAAAAACAGTAAAGTAGTACGCGGTCAGTAAAAGGTTGAGAAACCACTGTTCTAATTAGAGCCTTTGAAACATTGTGTATGGATTTTTAGAGAATCATTATTTCATGATCTTTTAAGGTAAAACATAAAACAAAGGCGTCAAATATTACTGTATAAACTTCAACAAATTTAGGTCTATGCCTTCTAAAGTTAAGCTAATTTTCGTTACAAATATGCTGTCTTGATTGCTTAATCTAATAAAATCATTAATTAGAAAAGATTTATTTATAACAAAACGTGATGTTCGGCAGATGATAAAGTACCGAATAAAAATTCTAAGAAAAAAAGTAACTTTGAAGTTCACGGTTTTGTTATTTTGCGATCAAATCATTTGGGTATTTTTGAAAATGATGATGAATTGACTGCATGATACGAACAGAAAAAGTTACGCAAGAGAAAGTAATTACAAATAGCATTGAAATGGTGTGTCAATGCGATTGTCAAGACATTGCCGACACGCTCATATCGTCAAATTGATTCCTATGCCCTTATTATTTGATATCAGAATATTCAGAAAACACCAGGATTTTAGTGCCAAAATGTCCTGGTAAAAATTATACTTGAATCAACATTCAGCAGTTGTGGTTTACTTCCGTAGAGAATCAAGTTGTGCGGAATTTGAAATAAATTCGAAATCATTCCGAATCGCATGGTTACTGTAATTGTGCTTTTCGTCTTCGATTCGTTGTACGCTTAGGTTTCAAGAACCGCGCAAATATTTCACTTGAAGCTAATTTGATATTGCAATGATTAAAAACAGTTTTCATTACTAGGTAGGTGAAATTAATCCACCTCCAGTAATGTTCTCCACGATGTTGTATTGAATTCGTGGTGTAATTTTGAAGAAGTTGCAAAAATTTGGTGCCACGATGAACCATTTATTTTAAACTATGATAAAACTAATCGCTAATGTTTTTCTTGTTGGTCATTGGGCACTCCAGAAGCATGTGTACAAATATGGAGGTAACTAATTTTGTTCGCCTATTTTTCATCTAGTATTGTAAAGAGACACATGTAATGCCGTGCATCATTTATGTGTGGAGATTTTTTATGGCGCTATTACCGGTATATTCACAAGGTCATGTACCCGATTTTAGTTTATCATGTGGAATAAATTGCAGACGTATACCGGTGCTATCCAAGTTAAATTGTGCCGTTTGGGCCCCATTGAATAAAATCTCATTTACCTGGCCGGGCGATATCTCTACAGCCAACGTCTACAACACAATCAGCATTACCCACAGATGTCTAATAGAAAAATTAAGCTTCTTGCACGTTATTCCTATCTTCATCCTGGATACTGGGGGTCTTTTTATGACGAAGCCACAACTCTATTTTAACCCTTGAAATATATATATATTTTTTTCAAATATTGGCTGAATAACTGAACATGTATAATGCAAACAAATTTACACTTGATTTCTGAAATTATTCACACTCCTGATTCGCTGGTGTTTGTCAAAAACCTAACCTTTCTGCGCCTACTCTCATACGCTAGTTTTTTCTTGATTTTAGACAAATACAGATAACGAATGTCTGGGGATGTCCGCATTGGCTTTGAGCTTGCGTTTCTGCCCACCGACATCCGGTAATTTTTCACGTCTTTTTTTATCACGCTTTACATTGAAACATCGACGTCATGTTAAGTCTGAAGCCTAACAATGTTAAAATGACAATCATTACACCTCAATCTAACAAAACTTAATTATGACTACAATACTTCTGCACGACTATAAATACTTTAAGCCATAGAATTATAATGTTTTGTTTTGTTTTTCTTTTTTTCCCCTTCTTTCGTTTAATGCCTTGGCAATAAGAAGACAGTGGTCACTCATTCGTTCCTAGAAATTTTTGCTTTCGAGTATCCATAATATTATGCTCTCATGCTGTTTCGTATTATAACTTATTGGTCGTGAACGCACTTTACCTTTCATGAGCAAAAAACTTATCGTAGTAGAGGGCTCTTTGTACTTTGTTAATTCAAAAACGAGGATATTTTTTGGCACATTTGTTGGGGTGCTCGGTAGCGACGAAGGAAGTCTGATTTTTCTAACAAATATTCTGTCCTGATTGCTTAATCTAATAAAACCATTAACTAGAAAAGATTTTTAACAAAACGTGATGTTCAGCAGATGATAAAGTACCGAATAAAAATTCTAAGAAAAAAAGTGACTTAGAAGTTCACGGTTTTGTTATTTTGCGATCAAATCATTTGGTTTTTTTTTGAAAATGATGATGAATTGACTACATGATACGAACAGAACAAGTTACGCAAGAAAAAGTAATTACAAATAGCCTTGAAATGATGTGTCATTGCGATTGTCAAGACATTGCCGACACGCTCATATCGTCAAATTGATTCCTATGCCCTTATTATTTGATATCAGAATATTCAGAAAACACCAGGATTTTAGTGCCAAAATGTCCTGGTGAAAATTATACTTAAATTAACATTCAGCAGTTGTGGTTTACTTTCGTAGAGAATCAAGTTGTGCGGAATTTGAAATAAATTCGAAATCATTACGTAAACGTTCGCATTGCTACTGTTATTGTGCTTTTCGTCTTCAAATCGTTGTACGCTTAGGTTTGAAGAACCGCGCAAATATTTCACCTAAAGCTAATTTGATATTGAAATGATTAAAAACAGTTTTCATTACTAGGTAGGTGAAATTAATCCACCTCCAGTAATGTTCTCCACGATGTTGTATTGAATTCGTGGTGTAATTTTGTAGAAGTTGCAAAAATTTGGTGCCACGATGAACCATTTATTTTAAACTATGATAAAACTAAATATTATAGATTCAAATATTTCCCTTCAATTAATTTGCTACGGCAGATTTTTGAAAAATACAGAACAAAGCCACTGGTATATACAGTGTGACTTGTTTAGGTTGAACATTTCGATTAGAAGTTTCCTCTGCGTAAACACATAAACGTTTCTCTGGTTATTGTGCTATGTATTATTAAATTCTCTCCAATAAAAGTAGAAATCCACACCTTTGACGCCCCAAACAGAGGTTGATTGCGGATTACCACAGCGGCTCTTAGGAGAAACGCGGCGACAAATTGGTTGCTGCCATCAACTGACGAAGCGAGATTAGCATTCGCTAATGTTTTTCTTGTTGTTCATTGGGCGCTCCAGAAGCATGTGTACAAATATGGGGGTAACTAATTTTGTTCGCCTATTTTTCATCTAGTATTGTAAAGAGACACATGTAATGCCGTGCATCATTTTTGTGTGGAGATTTGTTTTATGGCGCTATTACCGGTAGATTCACAAGGTCATGTACCAGATTTTAGT